CGACATGAAAATGTACAGCGCAAATTCCTGAGAAACTTGAGATCTAATCTCGTATTTCAACTGATATGACTTCATACTGACCACCACGTGCTATTTATAGACGACGTCGTACTCTGGATTTTACTAGAAGTCTTGTTTTCTCGAATACAAAAAAAATTCTAGAATAAACGCTCTCTAGATGTGAAGAACTGGGTTTCTAGAACTCCCGCCGGGTTGTGGATGCAATTTTGGAACAATATTAAAATTGAATAATATCACTGTTTTACAGTTTCCTAAATCTACATAACACAAAAACCTTTCTTATTTTGATTCTTACTTTGTCAACTTCTTTTTCTTTTTTCTATATAGTTGAGTATAGTTTCTGTTTCTGTCTTGATATACCCATTTTAATTATAATTGCCTTTATAACCTGTTGCTCTGTAACTTGTTGCCCTTTATTCTTGTTCTTCTATATCCTTCATGTCCCCGTTCGCCTTCTTGGTTAACATGTTTTTTGTGTCCTCCTCCTCCTGTCCATCCTTTAAAACCTAGATTTCCTAACCTAATATCGAGAATTCTGTTGTTCCGAGTCACCTGTAGCGCTGTCATTTTTATGATTTTGATAAGCTTGACAGATTAAGAAAGAAAAGACAGAACCAATTCGGGTACTTTTGACTTGCCCTTTTTTTCTTTTGTTTTGGGACCGAACAGGTCGTCCAGATTTTTAGAATTTTAAAAATCTTAAAACTTTATCTTTGTTTTTGGCCGTCAAGTCCATATTCTTGAAAATTAACTAGCCAGAAAAGTGCTTGATTGTGTCTACTAGAAAGTTTCCTGGAAAATCATCCGATTGTTGATTTTTGTGAAGATTTTGGAAAGTGAGGTTACTATCGGCCGTTCAGGTATGTAAATTCCTTTTTCTCTCTGATGAATGAGTCCTTATATTCCCTCAATTCATTCAGGCACCTTCGGCAGGACGAAAAATAAGTGCCTGCACTTCTCCAAGTGAAAATTAACAAATTTGAGACCACGCTGTCTTGGAAATTCAGAGCAAATCTGGGCCCCCTTTACAAGGAAAGTTTGTGTCCTGTTAGAAGTTGATCCCCAACCATTATTTGGTTGTCTCCAGCCAGTTTGGTACCTCCGGAACTCAAATTTGTGAAAACTTCCGAGGCTTTACAAGGATTCCGTTCAGGCTTTTATAATTACTTACCTATGGGTGTCTTAAACGCAGGCGCGTGTCAAACGGCCCCGCAGACCCCGCCGCGCGGGGGGGGGGCCCGGTATAGGCCCCAGGCCCCCAATATACTCTAAGAAAAAGTAATACCTATGTATATCAAACAAACTCCAAAAATACAAATATGCACATCTAAACATTTCAAATCCATATTCTTAGATTTAATTTGTCACCATTTCTTTCGAACATAAAAAATGTGAACGCCCAAATGGGAATTTTCCAATTTCCGGTTATTAGCAGTTATTAGCGAGTCTTTATTGTTTCACTTGATACGTTTGAGTTTTGAGTTGATATTTAAAATATTAAAATGAGTAGTTCGCGCAAATATGTATCTGAGTGGGGCTCAAAAAAGAAAACTAGTTGAAAAAAAGGAGGAGGAGATAATGATATTGTGTATAAATATTATTATTTACTATAATGGGTTATTTTTGGAAAATATAATAGTGACATAGGGGGCCTCAAAAAAAAGTTCGCGGGGGGGCCCCCAAAAAATTTGACACGCTACTGCTTAAACGTGCCATCCTTATTACCGTAACTTATTTTTACCTTTTTCTTTATCGCCCCCTATGGTTTAGCTTTATTAGCTAATTAATATCTATGTATATCCAATTACCGACTTAATTTGTTTTTTTTATAGTAGTGTTTAGCTAGAATAGTTAACTAACGTTTACAATGGGCTCTTTCACTAATTTTTGAAATTGGCATAATTGAATAAAGCAACTAAAAACAGAATTTTCTATATTTTTACTTTTGAAAAATTCATAGTCCTTCTTGAGAAAATAGAAAAAAAAGAAATACCTCTGAATAAAAACACAGAATTTATTTCTATGACGTCGCAGCTGGCCTTTTGACCGTGTTGCCACTAATTATGAACATTGAAAATTTATAATAGATTTAATTCTAAAATGTTGGCAAATTACCATGAAAAGAAGTTGAATTAATTAGTTATGGATTCAAGATTTGATTTTTTTTTTTGAAATTATGCCCAAACACAATTTAAATCAATTTTTTATGCTTAGTTTTATTTTTTTTTTACGTCGCACTTCATTTAGTCACAACCGACAACAGCGCATTCAAACCTTTAACGTGCTTTTAGTAGACGGTACACAGCAGAGCCGGTGAGCTGCTTGTAAAATGAAAAATATTCAGGCGACGTCATCGATTTGGCGCGTTTTAAATCATTTTGAATTTCGCCAATTTCAAGTGCCCGTAGAAAACTTATTTCACGTTGTGGATCATTTTTTTTTTTTAGTATATATGTCTAAAATAGTCCCTCCTTTAGGATTCCATACTTAAATTACGTATTTAAATTTTAGTGAAAGAGCCCATTAATTATTAATTTAATTAATTAATTATTATCAGAGTCCAATATTGGCTTTTATTATCGTTTTCTCTATAATTATTTATGATCCGATAAGTATGCATTATTATAATTATAAATTTATTTCCGTAATATCGAGTACCGATCGATATAATATATAGTAGATTCATTAACCTTAAGAGGTTAACTTTTAATTTCAAATCAATAATGTGGTAGTTTTACAAAGTAAACCAATGTAAAATCATTAGGTAGTCAAATTTAAGTTTTATGTTTACCTGTTTTGAACTTTAAAGGTAAGAAGGTAGAGCTCTTCCGGAAACCGTGACCCCTTGATTTCATTTAGCAGGTTTTTGATATTTATAACTGCCTAGGGATTATTTATTACCTTTCTGCATTGATCAATTTGTTTTTTATTGATTTGATTGACTTTGAGTCAAAAATTAAAGGTTAATTTTATTTTGGCTTCTACATTTATACTTAAGTAATTCTCATCGTAGGTATCTATTTAATTGTTTTCAAATTTCAATCTTTTTATATACCTATTTAAATTAAGTTTTGCTTCCGTAAGCTGCTTATTTTTTTTTTTTAAATAAAATTGGATACTGAACAATATTCACCTTTGAACAATTTATTTGTTTCAATGTTAATGAAGAACAAGTTCGCCATCCGGTCAACAAATTGTTAATGAACAACAAGTTCGACATCCGGCCAATAAATTATTGTTTTTAGAATTCCAAAACTTGTGTTTTTATTGAAAGGGTTGTCAGTGTCAGATAGGTAGTGGATTTATTTTACATTTTACCTTTTCAGATTTTTGAATTTATCTTTTTGAATCATAGCTAATTATTTGAATAGTGTCTAGTTTGGCTATTCTTTGATAATCAAAATAATTTTATACAAACTAGTGGCGCCCTCTCTTTACTGTACCAACACCAAGGACCACCCCAAGCTAAAGAACCACTGAGCATAGTCGAGCACAATTATGAGCATTCTTTTGTTTCGCCAAAAGAGCGTTACAATCCATATAGGGTTTTTCTACGTTTGGCTTCGGATCTCAACTTAGTCTTGGTTAAACTAATCGTCATCAAGTCTTGTGCTAGTACATTTCCTAGACAGACTTACCTGTTCACAATGGTTCTAAGGAATAGCAAACAACAAACTATAATCTATATCTTGTTCTTTTGAATCTGCTCTTACAGCATTCAGTCTCATGGTTTCTTGTTCATTTTTAAAGGGGTGAAAAAAAGGAGGGGAAGTCGTATATCTCACAATCCTCTATTTATAGTTAAGCTACCAGTTTTGGGATCTATGCATTACATCCCATCATCAGGCTTTACAAGAGCTAAAATATAAGAATTTTTTTATAACAAACACTAAGGAGAATCATAAAAAAATCCCACAAAGTGGAGAGTCAAATTCCTAACTTACGATTCAGATTACAAGTCATTTGCTAGAAGCCAGAGTCGTGAATTGCACAGCATTATTATGTATAAGAGTCAATCGTGTATAATATATATTAACTTAAACAAAAAGTTATACAATTTCAAAATCACACCACAAAAACTCAAAGGACAAAGACGATACAATAATTTAAAATGGATTCGATGGCTGGTGTGAAAATTTTTAATTATTCTAGTCTATTTCGTTACAATTTTTTTCAAAAAACACAACGCTGGCGACCTCTAACATATTAGGTCTTAACCATAAAAGAATAAAATTCCAAAAAAGTCACCGCTACATCTATACATAAACAAATTAAAAACGAAAAAAATATTAGACACATATTATGAATGTCCAATGCAAGGAAACTAAAAAAGGTGTACACCAGTGACCTCCTCTGGAGACAAGCTGAAAGTATAGTAATAATTAAATGACAGTACCAGGAGAAATTTAAGTTTACTTTAAATTTTGAAAATATAATTCCTAAAGCATAGCTGAAAAAACTGGAGTGTGATCCAGTCTATCTCCTTCTTCACTAGCATCATGCAATTTATTTTCACTAGCATTATTCAATTCAATTTCTTAATATTTATTTGCAGGAATCTCATATCAACAATTATCCAGGCAATAATCAATTTATTTATATAAAATTTCATTATAACAAATACATTCGCTTCCTCAACTGTCTCCACTAACGGGTTCGTTTATCATCATAATCAAGCCATCTTCTCTTTTCCAAGGTACTACGAAAATCAGCATGCCCTCGTAAAACTTTTTGAAAAACCCATAAATTTATAGAAATAGAGTAACACATTTATTTTGTCTTAAATATTTCAAAAAAACACCTCGTAAAACTAGAAAAGATACAATGGTTGAGATGACTTATTACGATGGACAGTCTTTTTTTCTACTTTGAAGTGTAAAATCGGAAATATTGATTTATTATAACGACATATTTATGTATTTGGCTTGTGCCAGCATATTCCGTGCTCCATTAATTCATATCGAAAATTTTATTTCCAGGTTCAAATGTTAAATAAACGAGCGCTGTCAAAACAAATCAACAGGACCACTCTAAAATAGTGTTCAATTAAAAAAAAAAAAAACAAAATGAGGGAAGTGTGCAAAAGTGGAGCCGTAGTAGCAGCAGTCGTGGCAGTGCTAGAGAAGCAATCCCGTCAATTTACACCTGTTCAAAAAATACCACCCGCCATTCCACCAAGGCACCATTCTCGTGAGGTTTCCCCAAATTATTTAGCTGAAAATAGCCTGGAACCGCGGAAGCCCGCCGAACTGGCTACAAACATAATAAACACCAACAACAGTGATTTTATAAATAGAAACACTCAAGACGGTACTAGCACGTCCGATGAAAATAATTTCGAGTTAGCCGTGCAGGACTTCAATACAGTTGCCGAAGACGTGGAGAAGACGTTTTCTTGTGACGACGGCGATGTGACCAAACGGAATCTTATAAAAAGCGAATGTTTTACGAACAGTGCCTTAATTGATTCGCAAAATAAGTATTTTGGGGGACAGAGAGTGGACTGTTCCAGCATAAATCGACTAGGTAGTGTTACTGGAAGATTGCCTGAAAATAAAGTTCGAATACATGATAGTGGTAGTGGAATAAGGAAAAATTGTGTCACTATTGATTTTACAAGTGAGGAGGATAATAAAAGTGGTGGGGAGGGAAAGAAGACTGATGTACGAAATGGAGTAATAAGGTAGGCAAAGTCAATTTTCTATACACTTCGAGCTTCTAAAAATAAAATAAAATAAAAGTTACTTCACTAAACTTTACTTCTAAGCATCTTTTCATGGAATTCAATTGGCAATTTAGTGTTTCCAAGAATGAATAGCACCAATTAAGCTGTGTTACATCTTTTAGTAAAACTCAGTTTCATTGAATTTCGAGGGGACCAATTATGTCTAGTTTATTTCACGATGTTCCTAAATTTATCTTTAATAGTCTGCCATATTTAATGCACTGTGCAGATCAAAGGAGCACTATTGATGTTTCCATCGGCCAATTAACTTATTAAAGCCATTATACAACTCCAGACATATGCAGGCATATGGTGATAATGCCTTATAGTCCAGGAGGTGGCGCCAAAAACATGCAAGAGTTTTCGCAAGGCGGATATTTTCAAAATAGGTCGTACTTTAGTGCTAGAATGCTAGTGTACAGTCAGCACTCACAGTTCCGGGACAGCTGGCTCTGGGACGCGGTCAAAGTTGTAATTTTAAGAAGCATCTAAACTGTTTTCTCAAAGCTCAAAATTTATAGAAATTTTGCACATTATCTGTTTGAAGGTCACAGATAACGTATGTAAATAGTCAGACGTCTAGTTCGTTGCAAAAAGGGGGTCAGACGTCCTCAAAGTTTTTATTTTATGGCATTTTCTTCAACTATATTTGTCAAATACCTGCAAAAATATATTTTGACAGGACACCGAAGAAAATGCCATAAAATAAAAACTTTGAGGACGTCTGCCCCCTTTTTGCAACGAACTAGACGTCTGACGATTTACATACGTTATCTGTGACCTTCAAACAGATAATGTGCAAAATTTCTATAAATTTTGAGCTTTGAGAAAACAGTTTAGATGCTTCTTAAAATCACAACTTTGCCCGCGTCCCAGAGCCAGCTGTCCCGGAACTGTGAGTGCTGACTGTACACTAGCATTCTAGCACTAAAGTACGACCTATTTTGAAAATATCCGCCTTGCGAAAACTCTTGCATGTTTTTGACGCCAGCTCCCCAACTATTATTGCAGTTTCGATAATTTAATTTAAGCAAATTGTAGCCATTGACGATTATTAATAAGAGTTAACATCCTTGAGTTGTAGAGCTGATGTGTCATGGGATCCTGCCGATATTTCGAGCCAATGCAACAGGTGAACAAATGTTGCCGCTTACTAGGCCAGGGCAGATAAATTTTTTCGTAACATAAAATTTAACAGCAAACTATCGATGCAATATTGTTAAGGATCATTTATAGATGCTAAAAACCAAAAATGCAACATCTAATTACTTTTAGGGGATTTTATAATAGCTATTTATACAACAAGTTACGAAATGAGTGTCTTTTGGGCACGCGACGTGAAAATTGTTTGGACAACACGTCGAGTGACTAAAAGACATCGTTTCGTTACGTGTTGTATACAAGATTTTTTCTAATGGCGTTTCATACTGAAAAAACACATAATTTCATTCCTCGTAAATAAGAGCCGATCACGCCAAAAAAGTTTGGCACCTGCTTTTGATTGACATCTTTCATGAGGTTTTTTTGATTGAAAATTGAAATCCTATTGAAAAAAACAACAGAAAGTTCTGTTTTGAGTAACCCAAACGTTTACTTTAGTAGTTCAAATAATTGCATTTACAACATTTATGAAAAAATAGACAAAATTCAAATCTGTGTTTTCTATTTCTGAACAATGAGTGACACTTTTAGGCACTAGTGCTTAAAAGTGTCACTTTTACGCACTAGTGCTTAAAAGAATGCCATTTAAAAACTAAAATGACAATCGAAAAGTCGCTATTATGAAACGTCAGTAGAAAAACAATATTTAGTGCAAAAACTGGACTTTTTTTTGTTTATTTCACTGTATTTTGAAAACTAAGGATCAGATGGTTTTGCTACTCTGGCAATAGTTTTAGAGCATTGAATAAGCTTTAAAATAAGCCATCATACAACCCTGTAGGTCTTTTAGTCTTCGAGAAATGATTTTTTTCCCCCCAAAAAAGAGATTTTCGTAAAAAATTCCTAATTTTTTTAATTTTCATGCTAGACAATTAATTTTTTACACATACATAGTAGATGAGGCAGGCTTCATTGAGCCCAAATTTGGGCCCGGTCCGATGGGTCGTTTCGGCATAATACCCTTGTCAAGCAAAATGGGGATGTTTCTAAAACAGTCTGTCGAATTGAGGATAATTTTTTTATATTTATTTTGAAAAGTCCACTGATAAGTCGAAATGCCAAACTATCGATCCTCTTACTCAGATTTTCCATTTAATTTTTTTATCGCAAGTAGAACGGCTCCAAACATCACTGAAAATGGAAAAAAATGTAATTTGCGTGGGCGGGGGGGAGCTCGCTGTCACTCCGTTTGAATTCCCGTCAATTTTTTCCATTTTCAGTCATGTTCGAAGCCGTTTTACTTGCGATAAAAAAATTAAATGGAAAATCTGAGATAGGGGATCGATAGTTTGGCATTTCGACTAATCGGTGGACTTTTCAAAATAAATATAAAAAAATTATCCTCAATTCGACAGACCGCTTTAGAAACATCCCCATTTTGCTTGACAAGGGTATTATGCCGAAACGACCCATCGGACTGGGCCCAAATTTGGGCTCAATGAAGCCTGCCTCATCTACTATGTATGTGTAGAAAATTAATTGTCTAGCATGAAAATTAAAAAAGTTAGGAATTTTTTACGAAAATTTTCTTTTTTTGGGGGAAAAATCATTTCTCGAAGACTAAAAGACCTACAGGGTTGTATGATGGCTCATTTTAAAGCTTGTTCAGTGCTCTAAAACTATTGCCATAGTAGCAAAACCATCCGATCCTTAGTTTTCGAAATACAGTGAGATAAACAAAAACAAAAACCTGTTTTTGCACTAAATATTGTTTATAAAATCCCCTAAAAGTAATTAGATGTTGCATTTTTGGTTTTTAGCATCTATAAAATGATCCTTAACAATATTGCATCGATAGTTTGCTGTTAAATTTTATGTTAAAATATGGCTGTTATTTCGCTAAGTGCCTTGGCCTATACGGTTAACATACACAAATTAGGAATCAGGATATCTGGTGCCATTGTTCCATTATTGTACTGTCTCCCTCAATTTTAAAAATGGCGAGTCGCACATTTTTCGTCAAAATTTGAAGGAACTTGGAGTCTTCAGAGCTTCCAGAATCTTTAAGGTCTTCCAGTGTCAAGTCTGCTACAATTTTGAGTCTTAAGGAGGCGGTAATGACCTTGAAATCTGTCAGTTCTGTGCTCTGATTGGATGATTTTTTAAAAATTCGTCTATAAAGAGGAAAAAAAAACTCACATCAAAATTGGCTCAAATTCGGCATAAACATTCTTTGATCGATCATTTACAATCCGAGAATTTTAATTTTCCGATTTTTTTAGCGTCATCTCTCTATTAGAAGTAATCCATACCCTTGAAAGATAGGCAACTGTACACACACAGAGTGAGTTTTAAGTATGGTACGTCTCAATTATCTCGAAAACGGCTTGCACGATTTTTATGAATTTTGGTACTACCCTTATATGGCCGATATTATGGTAGTATTTACATGGTTGTCAGATCTTTTGTTTTTCGGCAAATATCAGAAACTTTGTTTTTTCAAATGGATCACCCTGTCATTTTTTTGTTTTTAGAATTCGTGAGAAAAACTGAATATTTTTCATGAAATATTCCCTATACCTAAATGCCATATTTTCGGAATTATAGCCTCATTTACATTATAATCCGCGAAAGTTGAAATAATACATTGTCTTATTTCGCGCGTGTCGCGGGCGAGTGTCGTCATGTCTGTGCGCACCATAAGTATTTGCTTGGAGGTTTCAGTAAACCATTATTCTTGGTGTTTATTGAACATCGAACGAATTGAGATTTAAATGATATTAGGATATGGTGTTGCAGTAGCGGCTCGTATATTAAAAATGTAGGGGTTGCAATTTCAATGGTACAATCATGCATGTTTTTCGTAAAGGTCCAGATTAAATGTCCTACGGTGAGAGTCCTTTGTTGCTAGTTACAGTTTGTTCAATTTTTAAATTTGGAGTAGGCCTTCCAAGTCTTTTTATTTCAGCCTTATCAGTTAATAAACGACCAAAGAATGGCTCGGGAATTAAATTTTAAACAGAATTCATTTTTTTTCCACCCCCACACGACAAAACTTCACAAAACAAACCTAATCTGCGCTGCGAGCAACAAAAATAAACAAAGTTTGCACTTTGCTTGCAACCTGCTGGAGCGTCTGGGGCGGATTTCGAATCCACGCATATACAGGCAACCAAATGTGCGCCGTCATATAAAAGATCGGTTTGCTTTGGAGCTGCAATCCAGCGATTCGACGCCGCTACCTACTCGAAGTCGCCGGCGGCCTGTCAGTTGTTGATATTTTGGAGAAGTTGGTCAAATTATTTTAACAATTGACTGCGTATTATGGAGGTCCCAAATTTTGGTATAATTTATTTTTTAAATAGGTATAATTATTTACTAAAATTCAATTCTACTATTTTTGTTTTATATTTTTTAAGTTTTGTTTTGGGGGTTGCGCAAACCTGCAAACCTAAGGAAGAGCCGCCGCCACTGTGGTGTTGTGCGTAGAAGTCAACGAAAAACGTATGATATCTTTAATAATGCTTATCCCAACCGAAATTCCATAACAAGATCTTCGCAGTGTAGAAAAGTTCTCCCCCTCTGGCGCAGTAGAAGATTTAGGCAAATCACGGCACAGAAAAACTGCATCAACTGAGAAAAAATCTCTAGATGTTTGTGTCGTGTCAGAAGACGATCCACACTTGTTAGAGTACCTACTAGACAAATATTCAGGGAACTTGATATTTCGCAAAAATCCGTAATGAGAATTTCACGTGATAATAAATTCTATCCATACAAAGTAAGGTTATTTCAAGAGTTGTCAGATGACGATTTTGATGATGGGAAAATGTTACGATCCAAATTTTTAAAATAATTTCATGTTTTGCGATAAGGCCACTTTTTTTATTGAAAAATAGTAAATCGGCATAATTGTCGATACTGGTCACGTAACAATCCTCGTTAGATGCGTTAATGTCACACCCAATATTTCTCTGGTGGTCGTCGTGAGGTTGACGACCGATGTTGTCAGCTCTGGTCTTCAGTCCCATAAGTTCGTTTACCTCTACTGGGTTTTGGTTTAGTCCATCTCTCAGAAGAGGGTGGAGTGTTTTGGGCAGTTTGCCCTTCTTGTTGAGGCGAGTGCTCCTGCTCTGCCACTGGTGTGGCTTTAGTAATATCCATAAAGAAATAAAAAATATTAATGATTTTGATAGACGTGAAGAGTTTGCAGACACAATGATGATATTAAAAAGTATTCAGATTAAACGAGTTTATCCAATCATAGCTATCAATGTATTAATTTATTAATTCATCTACACGGTTACAGCAGATGCTCAAAATGTTGTGCATTCACTTCAACACAACAAGCCATCCTATTTTTAAAACTTTGTAATACATTTTGCAACACCCCTGTCTGCTCAATTCTTCTTATCTCTGTGCTTATCATCTCTCTCTATTCCTCAATATTGGCATGTTTCGTTTTATACACGATGTTTCTCAAGTGACCCCATAGGAAATAGTCTTATGGATTCATGTCGGGTGATCGCGGGGGCCATTCGATGAAACCACGTCTTCCAATCCATCTTCCGGGAAACACATTGTTGAGGTGTTGCCTCACCTCATGCGCATAGTGAGGTGAAGCTCCATCTTGTTGCAGCGAAATATTATTGTTTGGAATATTGTTATTGTCTGAAAGATTTAAAAAACGGAATTTCAAAATTGAAAGGCAATTGAAAATACTTGAATTTGGAAATTTCCGAGCGAATTCAGGTATAATACTATTTGGCAGTAAATTATAATACGCCGGACCATTTAAGTTTCCTTCAATGAAATGAGGTCTAATTATTGTGTCGCCTATTATTCCAGCCCATACATTGAGCTTTTCGGGATATTGGGTGTGGGATTCACGCATCCAATGAGGATTGTTACGTGACCAGTATCTACAATTATGCCTATTTACTTGTCCATTGATAAGAAAAGTAGCCTCATCGCAAAACATAATATTATTTAAAAAATTTGGATCATTTGGACCGTAACATTTTCCCATCATTCCGTCTGCAAACTCTGCTCGTCTATCAAAATCGTCGGCTGACAACTACTCTTGAACCCAATCTTACTTTGTATCGATGGAATTTATAATCACGTAAAATTTTCATAAGGGACTTTTGCGAAATATCAAGTTCCCTGGATATTTGTCTAGTACTTAAGTGTGGATCGTCTTCTAACATGACACAAACATCTAAAGATTTGTTCTTAGTTGATGCAGTCTTCCTGCGCCCTGATTTGGGTAAATCTCTTAATGCACCAGTTTCGGTGAACTTTTTCACCAACTTGCTCACAGTAGATCTTGTTATGGGATTTCGGTTGGGATATAAATTATTAAAGTTATTACACGTTTCCTGTTAACTTCTGCGCACATCACCATATCCTAATATCATTAAAATCTCAATTCTTTCTTTTTCAGATAAACGATCCATGGTAAAATTCAATAAACACCAACAATAATAGGTTTGTTCGAATTGAACTGCGCTCGCGCATTTGTTTGGAAACTTCAAAATTAATATTATTGTAGTCATAGAAACCTTCACAGACATAACTGTGGACATAACGTGACGCAACCGCGACAAGCGCGCGAAATGCATGAGACAAGCCAATGTATTCGAATTTCAAAAACAAAAAAAATATACAGGGTGATCCATTTGAAAAAACAAAGTTTCTGATATCTCCCGAAAAACAAAAGATCTGACAACCATGTAAATACTACCATAATATCGGCCATATTACAATACCCTTTCATACCAAAATTCATAAAAATCCTGCAAGCTGTTTTTGAGAGAATTGAGACGTTCCATACTTAAAATTCACTCTGTATATTATTTTTCATTTTAAGAAATACGCAATATGCAAAAACCAAAATATTCGGATTGTAGATAATCGATTAAAGAATGTATATTATTTGAGCCAATTCTGATGAGAGTTTTTTTCTTTTCTTTTCGCAAACGAATTTTTAAAAAATCAACCAGACCACAGAACTGACAGATTTCAAGGTCAATAATGCCCTTAAGTCAAATACCTTAAGAGCCTTCAAGATCTGTAGGATCTTTGAATTCTTTATATTTCAGAGTCCAGAGGATCCTTGGAAGTTTTTAGATTTACTTTAGAATTTGTCGAGGCTTTAATCTTGAATCAACGGAGTCTGTAAAATTTTTATTCTAAAATCTGGAAAAATAGATCCTTAAAGTCTTTCGATTTTTTTTTTTTGGAATTTTTAGTCTTTAATATCAAGACATGATGTCTTCAAAGTCTTTAAGCTATGAGTTGTAATTGGAGTTTCCAAAAGCGAAGCTTTGAAATTTTTCGGCGTCGTAGAATTTCTTCAGTCTTACATCAGCTGCATTTTTGGAGCCCTAATTCTATTATGTATCATGAATAATTTTCGATGCCTTCAGATTCTTTAATTTTTTTGGTGTTTCGTCTTTAGAATCTTAGAGTGATGCTTCAAACACTCCAAACTCTTTGAGATCTCCAGCCTTAGGTCTTCCATCAACAGAGTCTTTAGAGTGTGCATTGTGAAATCAGAGCGTTATTCAAAACCTTGCCTTTAGCATTGAGTCTTTGGAATCTTGATTTTCTAGTCTTGAGAAATGAACATTGAGACATTTCCAAGACAGATCTTTGGATTATTTAAAGCCTTTAAACTAAAGGCTTCAAATCAAGGAACTTAACATTCTTATTAGAGTCCTCGCATTACTCAGAATCTTTAGTATTGTGTCTTTGGAATCTTTAGTGTTCTTAGTCTCAAGTGATGATCGTTTCAGAATCCTTGAAATCTTCGGATTTGTCGACGTCTCCAATATTTTCGGAGACTTAGGTCGTTATCCATCAGCAGAGTATCGTGACATTCTAAAATCTTGAAAAATAAGTTCTCAAAGTCCTCAGAATGTTTTTAGTCTGTAGTGTTGTAATAATCCTGAGAATTCTTGGTTTTAAGTGATGGCACTTGTGACATGCACTTTGAAATCTCTAAGGTTTTCGGAGACTTTTTTGAAGTCTTGATATTTTGGTGTCTTTAGAATTTCTAGAAGCTTCCCTGTTAATTCCCAGGGAGTATAAACATTTTCGAATCTTGAAAAATTAATCTTCAAATCCTTCAGAATCTTTTGTCTTTAGTTTTCCGTCTGTGTCTATTTTTTTTTAGTTTCTAGCCATAAGTGATGATTCCTGAGACACGTGAGATTTTTGTAGACTTTGGAGCATCTGAGAGCTTCATATCAAGATACTGACATAATTTCTAGTCTAAATTTTCTCGGTGTCTTTAAAAATTTCAAAAGCTCCAGTGTTAGGTCTTAGTTCAGTCCCAAAAGCCTTCAGCATATTTTAAGTCTTTACTGTATTGTTTTGTGTGTAGAATCTGTAGTTTTAAGTCTTATGGGATGACTCTCAGAACATTTCAAAGTCTTGAATCGGAAACTTCATAAAGACAAGGCTTTAAATTAAGAGCCGTAAAATCTTATCGTGAACACTGAATTATTCAATGTGAAGAAAAACACCAGGTCGTGGTCTAAAAATTGTTTAATAATATAAAGGTTACATGTTTCGCCCAATAATGGGCATCATCAGACCTATAAAAAGAAAACCTCTCACACTTAGAACAAACATAGTACAGAAACACATACCTTCAACTGAACTCTCAGAGTGAGTGTTTCCAACAGGCGCATACACTTGAATACATCTTTACAATGAAACTTTAAAAACTTTAAAATAAGCTCAACAAAAATGTGGAACATTCCCGAAGCTGACGAACATAAACAGCAGGAGAATCTCCGCAATTTATGGAGTAAACTCCCGAGATTGTCCTGCTGTTTATATTGGCCAGTCTGACAGAAAGGTATCAACTAGAATTAAATAACACCTTAGCTATGTATAAAAATATAGATTCTGATATAATCAATACCAATTTCGCCTTCGCAAACCACTTGTTGACCTCAGGACACAACACTTCCATTCCTGAAAACGTTAAAGTTTTGCATCAATGTGATAATAAGGGAAGGAAATTGGACTTACTGGAGAAAATGGAAATAATCAGAGCCAAGAAGAGCCCTGTCCTTACCTGTGTGATTTATTTAAAGAATACTATTTTCACATTAGGGTATTAGGGTTGGGGATTATTTGTTTTCCAAAAACATTTGCTTTATGTCTCTCTCACTTGAGAGTTGTCACGTCGTTCTCCTCTTGTGCTTGCGTTTTCTTGTTCTTCTTCTTTTTTTTTTCTCATTCACCACGAATCTCTCATTACCTTACTCATTCAACAACTTCCGCATGCCCTCCTTATACATGGAATTGTAGTTTAGGTTATGTGTGGTTTTTGGCTGCCATGTCTTGCCCTTGTCAGCTTCGGGACATGATCCACATTTTTCTGAACTTATTTTAAAGTTTTAAAAGTTTTATTGTAGAGATATTGAAGTGTAGGTATGCGTCTGTTGGAAACACTAAACACTCACTCTGAGAGTTCAGTTGAAGGTATGTGTGTTATGTTTGTTCTAAGTGAAAGAGGTTTTCTTTTTATAGGTCTGATGATGCCCATTATTGGGCGAAACAAGTAACTTTCATATTATTCAAAAAATTCAAGACCACGACTTGGTGCTTTTCTCACATTGAATAATTGAACACAGGTGTGTTTGAGCCATGAACTATTTTTTCAAATATGAACACTGAATTTGATTAGCCCTTGTTTTTCAATTTCTAAAAACGCATTATTTTTAGGGTGCCTCCGCCAAATGCCAAACCATCAAACAGCCTAAAATTGAACTTTGACAAAATATCTTTCAAATCTGATGACTATGCGGCTGTTCTGGGATACGAAGATGGAGATATTGATAGTGATAGCTTAGAGGGTAGCACCGATAGTGAAGGTGTGCTGTTTGTTAGTGGAGGTTTGGCAACCATAACTGAGGAAGAGCGAAGCAGTGTGCAGTCGTCTAGAGGTAAGGGTTCTTCAATTTTCAATCAAGAGCAATATGAGACCCCAATTTTATATAATTTTACTCAATATTCATTATTTTTATTTTATTCTATGCGTGAATGTAGTACATACGTAAATTAAAAACTCGTTTTGTTGTGGAGTTGGGCTTTAAATTAAATTTTGCGTTTACGCTGATAAATCGAATTTGGGAAAATAGATATATTGCATTGAAATTTGCTTCTGGCGAGATTTGATTTAATGCTAGAACCATAATATGAAAAACAGAAATAAAAAAAGTGTGATTTGGCTAGTTTTTTAAAGTCGCACTGCACTGAAACATTATGATTATTAGCATGGCTAAACATAATCTCCACCACTGAACATTCTCTTCATAACTGTTAATTAGACGCCCTCACATAATTATATTTTACTGAACTTTTGAAATGAAAAATATTTTATAAAGGAGCGGCCGTGAAACAAAATAAGCCGGCAGTTGTTTTTCATGCAGCAATGAACAGATATAAAGCATATGTTTTACGTTTTAAAGCACTGAAAGCTGAAGAATTTTTAAGTTTTCGTTTCATTTCCGAAAACAGGAACGGATTTAGACCTGTTACAATATTAAGTTGATTTTATTTTTAGTTTCAACTCATGCTTTGCACTTTCATTGTCTTTGATGGCTTACAGAATATTTCGTTTAGTACTGAAGTAAAAAAATTAATCCCAAGGAATGGGTTCTTAGAGCGTGTTTTCTTATTACATTAATTTGAAGTACAGTTAGTCAGAATCCTAAACAAGATATTCTGCATCCCAGACGTTACTTATTCAGATTTTGAGTGTACATGAATAATTTTAAGCGATATTCTTTTAATTTTAAGTACGAGATAAGCAACCCGATCTGAGACTCCCTGGATAGTAAACAATTGATTGTCTACGTGTAGACAATTCGAATTGTTTACGTGGGCATTTGTCTACACATTAGAGAGTTATTGGACGTGCAATAAGGACAAGCAGTATTTAAATTAGCCTATTTTGACATCTACGCATGCGCAATATGGTCCGAATATAAGAATTCCCTTAATAAAGTTACTGCTTGTCTTTATTTGTGTATGGTTAGTGCGAGGCAGTAAACTTCCCTTATTTTAAATTTCTGACATTTTGGACGACTTTGACGTTTCGCTTTTCGACGATGACGTAATTTTACTTAGAAAATTTATTATTTACAGTAGTTTTCCATTTTACTGTGGGTAGCATCGAAAAATGGGTATCAGCAGAAAATCACAAACAAAAATAAACACTTTTTGAGGTGGAAATTTATAAACATAGCTATCAGCTGTCAAAATTATGCATACAAAATAAGGTAATACTCTAGCACCTACTACAGTCTTCCAATAACTGTTTTTTTCTTGAAAAAATAGTGCTGATGCACTAATAAAATAACGTAGATTCTTAATACTGCGAGGTAATATTTATGAGTTCCAATAACTCTCTATTGTCTACATGTGACGTAAACAATAAACTTATTTTAGAAAATTTAAAAAAAAGTTCCAAAATTACTACTACTTAAGTAGCTTATACCTATCACTTTGATATCAGCATTCACTGATTATAAATATGAGGAAAACCGATAATAAAATAAAAATAATTTTCGAAAAGGAAAGTGTGAGGTTGGAATTGAACGTCATTTATATTATTTTATCCCATTTTGACGTTTAAAAATGACATTATTGAACGCATAATAACAAAGGTAAGTAGACGTTTATCACCTGAGTGACTTAAAATATTTTTAACTTACTCTCGGTCTTTTAAGTCACTCTGCCAGTACAAAAATCTGCTACAAATACAAACAAACAACTAGCTATACCCTAGCAACTACCAGTTCCAGTAGGTATTAGACATTAGCGCTCGCTGAATGAATTTTTTTTATAATTTGATTCTTATTGAGTACTTAATTTTTTTAATGTCCATCAAAAAGGGATAAAATTTTGTATACATCACGTGAGTTAAAATGTTTATTCATTCGAAGAAAATTAACCCACTCGCTAGGGCTCGTGGGTTAAACTTTCTTCTCATGAATAAATATTCATTTAACTCACTTGGTGTATAAATAACTATTACATTGTTGACTCGTTGTCTACATTGTCTACACGTAAAGTAGACAATGAAAGTCTACGTGTAGACGCACATCCCTGGGTACAGCCCACAGTCTGCCTGTAATATTGCCGGTTACAAATACGATTAACATATATTTCAACTCAGATAGGTATGGGAAATTCTTACCATAATGTTCCCTTGCTAAACTTTCAGTAGGAATTATTCATAATCAAGGTAGGTAAATAAAACTAGCATATACGAAACAAGATAAGTTTGGTATAATCGATGATGAAATAATGTGAAAATCTAGTGGTCATTAACCAATAACATGTCAATAACATTCAGAGCAGATTTCAAAGACAGGAACGTTATTTTACTTATCTTTATCTTCTCAGTAAAAATCCCTGATACTGTTGGGCTCCGGCACGTCCACTGAGCTGCACTATTTCTTGGCTTGTGAATACTGGCTCGGCAACCAACTTCCAACCACTTTAATGCAACAGGTGGATGGAATTTTCCAATTTAGCTACTAATTAGCATTTGGACCTTTCGACCATTTCCATCGGCTGCCGGAAGAAAATAGAGAGAATTCCTCCACTTCCCGTAACAAGTAACCTAACAAAATCGCACATTGCACATATTCCCAAAAACACAGGGACGAACGCAATATACCAAAACGAATGATCATTTAAAGCTATGTTCCGAGTAGTTAAACAAAGCGGGTTCTGCGATATAACGTTATCGTAATGCTAATAGCGTTAACGTACGTTAGGCGTGCTATCTGACTGTGGGTTTGGGTGGTAAGTAGTACAGGTGTTAATGGCGGCTTCATGTGTCACTATCTAACAGCTAGCAGCCAAAGGTGATAGTCTGTCTGTTAGTAATAACGGGGCACCTGAGCCTGGGAATTTTTTCGATATCGTGGGAAAATTTCTAGATCGGTGGTGCCTTTGATCTGAAATTTCGGGAGTTTGACCCTAACGTACGCTAACGCTAAAGCTAACGCTATTACCATCACGATAACGTTATATCGCAGAACCCGCTTTAACTACTGTGGGGTCGTATTTTCGAAACCATGCGAATTCTTTCGCATGCGATCTAATTCGAATGAAAAAATTCGTGTACGAACTAAAATGCGTATTTTTGAAGACCCTTCGAAAATGATATCGTATACGAGTATCATTTGCGTTGGCAACGTCGCAAATTCGAGTATTGGATAATGGCCATTTCGACCGATACAAAAACGAAGAGGTATTTTTTGAAATTTGGCTTTTTAAAAATACCATAACACTCCCTACTTTTGCTGTTAACCTATAGACTATCCAAGATGCTGTCAAACTTAAATGAAAATGTCTGTCAAGGTGTAGGTGTTATCAAATGGTGTTATGAGTTTAGCTGGGTTCTAACAGAAATTGAATTTAATTTTATTTTAACATAATTTAAGATTTAATATTATTTTACTTTGTGGCGTTCATACAGTAATTTTTTAACTGATATAGAAAAATGTCATTATCCGTCATCTGCCTTGTCAAACTAATGAAAATCTATGATCAACCTCAAATTTAATTTAATTTAATTTTGAAAGATAAAAGTTGGCCAACTTTTAAATTAAGTTATATTATGTCTTAAATTAAAATTTTGTATGAACGCCGTCATATGGTAATGTATAGTAAACTTTTTAAATTAAATTATATTGAATGCTAAATTAAATTAAATGTCTGTTAGAACCCACCTTTTTAAATTGTGCTTATTGTGAATTATCTACGTTGTTATATTTAAAACTGTTGTATTTATGTTAAAAATAGTGTATGTGAACAGTAGTTCGTGTTCCTCCTGCCGGCCATATTTTGCTTGTCAAAGTTACGTGTTTTGGATAGGTATTCTTTTTTGTATTTTGTGGCTGTTTATTGAGTTTATCCATTGAGTTTATCAAGTATTATTTAGTCTATTCTGTTGGTATAAATCTTGTTGAAATAAATTTTGTGCACCTAATCGTTGGGATTTCCTTGAACGTCCTTGTTTTTTATAACGTTAACTAACAATCATGGTTTTTGGAGGGTTTGTGCCTGCTGAACAAAAGAAAGATTTGATTAGCTTCATCGAGGAGCATCTAGAACTAAAAATTAGGAAAATTCAGCTTTCAGGAGCCAAAGAAAATTAGAACCATTTGCGCAAAGTAAGCACGTCAACCAAAAATCTTCGAGGGCATCAATAACATTTCTTTCGATTAAATAATCCAAGCCAGCCATTCCAAAAACTGTCTTTTAATGAAGCAGGACAATTTAATCCGCAAATTATTTCAAAAAGAACGAAAAGTCAAAAAAAGAACGAACATCAAACACAATTTTCAATTTGCACAACGTATTTAGGTAGGTACATAAATAACAAATAACAAATATAACGTATATAAACAAAATAATTAGCATTTCAAAACAACGCGCAGAATCAAGTAAAATCACGTAAAATCGCATGCGAAATGTGATATTCGACTGGTGGAGACCCACTCGAGTAAACGTACACGAACTAAATCGTGTACGGACCGTTCGAAAGTGATTCGAAAATACGGAACCTCAATTATTTTCATGCGAATTTTGCCTTACTGACTACTAACTGAACATGACATTCGGTACATGAAAATTAAGAGAGGATTTGGCGCAAAGCCTTGTAGCAACAACCGAACTCAAGGATTTTTGTTAATAATCGTGTTCCGATCGTTCCGATAGCCTGTAGCAACAAAAACGACCATATGAATAAATTAGAACTGTCAAACATCAAGTGAGGTTACAAATATTCATTGTTCACAAAACCAGCTGATGAATAATTATTTGCAAATAAATGCATTGGAAAAACTAAATTAAGGACATTTGAAGACAATAATCCATCAATCCCATGTAACATAATATATGCTATTAATCATTCATGTATGTT